GCACTCATACGTAACGACAAAGCTTTCTAGACGGAGACACACAACTTTCTAAATTTATCTCGGAACTTAAATAATCTAGGACCTTTCCAAAAAAGCTCACAACTTACCAGGTCTTATATTCGAACATAATTTGTTAATTCGACCGTAGCAAATTAAGGCATATCTGAGTATCCAAACATGCATTCCGTATCGGTAATAATATATCTTCGAATAACATAAGACATGTTTCACTTCTGATCTAGAGAAGCAACCAAAATCTAAATAAGATTTAGCAACGTCACAGCTTTAAACTGCGTTTAGAACGACATACCTTCAGTGGTTTTTCCACAATCGCGTATTCAACACTTGAACCGTTTACGAGAAAGTGTGCTTAATGCTACGTCAGTCAATAAATTCAAAGTGTATTATGACAGGTGGAGTAGTGATCAAACTTTATAGCTATGAACTTTTAGTTTTTTCTTTATTTATTTCACTTTTCCTTTCCTTGTATAATAATAACAATAATGAACCAGCCGCTTTTACGGTTTAAAATTTGCCGGTAACTTTGTTAAATAGGGTTTTCTTATCTCCGGGATATTCACGTGACAACCTAGCCGTGCTTCGTTCTTTTTTCGTGACCGAGATATAGTTATACAGGGTGTTTCAGTTTATTGTTGCATAACTTTAAGATTCGATAGAACTTTTAAAATTAATGCATAAAGTCTATATAAACATGTGTCGAAAAATGCGTGGCTTCCGAAATACAGGGTGTTTAAATTTACTTTCTAAAATAGTTTTTTTAAATATATCGAACAATATTTGATGTATAACAGTGAAAATTGGTATACAAGGGTTTTTTGGTATGACAAAACGAACCATGGGCATAGTTTTACTGTAGCCCCTAGAGGGCGCTCTCTACTGTACCTGTAGTGTATTAAAATGACCTAAAATCTTTTCTTAGTGCAATTTTTTGCTTTTTGAATAAAAAAACTGATTTCTCGCACTTTTCAACATAAACAAGCTCACTTGTGAATTTTCGTTATAGTTAGCCGTTTTAGAGATATTTCGATTTTTAAGGTTCGATGCATTTTTAATTATCTATGATAAGTAACGCTAAAAAGTCAGTATCTCGATAATTTTTAGAAGTAGGCTGTGCCTGCAAATATTTTGAAATTGAAAGCAGAACACGGTTAAACATCAATTAGTTGACAGTTAGTTTTGTTGTCTGTTGAAACCTGAAACGTTTTTTTGCAATTGTGAATTCACGAAATTTAGTTTCTCTTACCTGTTTTTTTTTGTAAGTTTTATAAAAATGCCATTTTTATTCTCCAATCAAGAGTTAGCGGATATTCATTTTGTGTATGGCTTTGTAAATGGAAACGCAGCAGAATCGGCCAGATAATACGCACGAAGATTTCCAAACAGACGACATCCAACTCGCTCAGTATTTGTAAGAGTGCATCGCCAAATAATTGAAAATGGTTTTGGAAATCTCCAACGGGATCAAAACATAAATGTTCGTCAGCGCAGATTTAGCCGTATGATTCTGCGTGAGTTTGATAGAGGTCCGACCGCAAGTGTTAGGAGAGTTTCTAGTGCCTTGGGAATTTCAGCAAGCCATGTTCACCGTGTTCTTAGAAATGACCATAGACGTCCTTACCATTTGCAACCTGTGCAAGGACTACAGCCAGGGGACGGAGAACGAAGAATCACACTTTATCAGTGGATTCTTGATAGAACTGATAATAATAGGGAGTTTTTAAGTAACGTTTTATGGACCGATGAGTCATGCTTCACTAGACGTGGAGTGGTAAATTTTCATAATCAACATATTTGGTCGCATGAAAATCCGCATGCAGTTCGGGAAAGAAATTTTCAGCATGAATTTAATGTGAACGTGTGGATTGGTATCTACCGTAATCGACTATTTGGACCCTACCTTTTGCCTGCAAGGTTAAATGCTGCGACCTTCTTGGAATTTTTAAAGGCTGAACATGCAAATATGTGGGATGATGTTATGTTAGATTTAAGAAGATTGGCCTGGCTCCAGCTTGATGGTTGTCCAGCTCATTATTAGAGAATAGTTAGAAACTGGCTGGACGAAAATTATCCAGAAAGATGGATCGGCCGTGGAGGACCAGTCGCCTGGCCTCCACGATCCCCTGACCTAAATCCATTAGATTTCTTTGTGTGGGGATTTCTAAAAGAAAAAGTGTACCAGACTCCCGTAACTACAAGAGATATGCTAATAGACAGAGTCAGGTATGCATGTGATGAAATAAGGCCATATTTGAATAATACAACGTTCGATCATTCGTAGATGTGAATTGTGTATTGAACAATTGGGTTTACATTTCGAGCAACTACTTTAGATTTTGTATGTTTGTCCTAACTATCCAATAGCATTTTAGTTGTAAATAATTAATTTACTTTGTTAAAAATAATATTGGAACATTAAACAAATTAATATTCTGCTTTTTGTGTTTATTTGGAGTTAGGGATTATTGCTGTGTTTAAAAACACAATCTAAACGATCATCTTAATTACTTGTAATGCCCAAATCGAAAATGTAAAAAAAATATTATTTTCCCATAAATAATTACAAATGCATCGAACCTTAAAAATCGAAATATCTCAAAAACGGCTAACTATAACGAAAATTCACAAGAGAGCTTTTTTATGTTGAAAAGTGCGAAGAATCAGATATTTTATTCAAAAAGCAAAAAATTACACTAAGAAAAATTTTTCGGTCATTTTAATACACTACAGGTACAGTAGAGAGCGCCCTCTAGCGGCTACAGTAAAACTATGCCCATGGTTCGTTTTGTCGTACCCAAAAACCCTTGTATACCAATTTTCACTATTATACATCAAATATTGTTCGAAATATTTAAAAAAACTATTTTAGAAAGTAAATTTAAACACCCTGTATTTCGGAAGCCACGCATTTTTCGACTCATGTTTATATAGACTTTATGCATCAATTTTGAAAGTTCTATCGAATCTTAAAGTTATGCAACAATAAACTGAATCACCCTGTATACCACATCATCGCAACTTTCATAAAGAAAGTAGCGTTATCTGGATTCGATTTTTGAACTACCTAGGGTTAACACAACTAGGAAAACTTTGTTCTGATGGACAGTTCCACATTATCGGTACATAAGAAAAAGTTGCAGTCGTATCAGTCAGTTCTCGAAACACAGAGCTGGACCAAGTTAGAATAGATAGATGAAAGCCAGTCATTCGTAGGTTATTACAGTCTTCTCTCAACCTAGTTATGTCACGTACTTTAATTTATCAGACAAGTCCTTTGTTTATTTTCACGCCACTATACACCGCCCGCACTAAAAAGAAATCGCCCTCGTGGAGTTATTCATAATCCGATTTCCAGACTTCCATGAAATTTCACCAGGCGTTTCACCCATAAATATTCCTTGCACATGTTATGCGATCTCCGCTTAAAAAAGGAATAATATTACGTGAACATCGTCTTTATTCCTCTTATCGCACTGTGGTGTAATACGATTGCTTGCCTGACAGACATATGGGGCAAATGCAGTTTCGTTTCGTTTGTTACAAGGAAACGTGAGATAAATGTGAGACGGATTCATATTCCCTGTAGATGGAATATTTCTTATAACACTTGGTTCTTTACCTAAACTCTGTTCAAATCTCATTTATGCCACGTCAGGACAATTGCCCAGTTTGACCTGTAGAGAACGTAAAACAAATGTGATACGGTATCATATAAGATGCATTGTTCATGTAGATGGATGTCTCATAGCCCAAGTGTCTCATGGGTTCTCATCTTCACCCAGGTCTTCTCCACGGATCGGTTTTAGCTTCATTATTGTTCTTTGTGGTGGAATACGATTGTCTGACAGACATGCGGAGCATAGGGCTAGTGAAGTTTCGTTTGTTACATACGAACTTTAGACAAATATGAGAAGGCTTCATAAGATATATTTTGCTTGCAATTGAATCTATTATACCTCAAGTGCTTGGTACCTCACTTTGATAGTTCCTCTGAATCCCACAATGTCAACGCGGATGTTCCGCATGGACAGGATTCTGGCTACAACATGGTTTCAGTTATCCGTTAATGATCTCGTTTCCTGCACAATATACAGCTAAGCGAACACTCTTGAAATGAGATTGAGCTGGTGAGAAAAAAACTGATAAGGAAGTTCCTTTTTCAGAACAAAAGACAATGATCTGGACGTTGTTAAACTAACACGTACAGAACACCTACTAGTAAGATACACCCAAGCGCACATTCTATTTCTGGTGGTCGGTCGAGTTTTGTCAGGAAACTATTTGTTCCGGCTTGCCGGAGTACAGATCGCTGAGTATATGACTTGAGATGCACAGTTGCATACGTCTCGTCAATCGCAGCACCTACGGAAGAAGCTTGGTTATTTGTCAGGGCTAAAAGTGCTTTACATGCTAACATATATAAATCCAGATAAAGCATGTTTGGGTTGTTGTTGCACCTTCCAATGTGACTTGAGATCTTTGGTAACCTTATTCCCGGATCAACCCTCATATGTGAATAGATACTGTGACAAAAAGCACTATTGGCGCCATCAGTTGGGCGAGTCTCCTACTCGCCAGAGCTTCACGACCGATCTGTGCTTTTACGCGAACCACGACCGCACAAGCCGCTTGTCTGTGAGGACCGTGACAGTGACTCACCTTCTACCTCCAGTATTGTAGATACCGCTTTGTGGTTCACCAGACCTTTCTCGAATCAGCAATGGGGACTATATATAACTCGGCGGCCGGGAAATCGAAGCAGAGTACTGAATACGCTAGAGTAGCAGAGCGGACTGGAGTATAGTGCATTCAATGACGACATAAGAATTAGTCAGGCATAAATAGTGGTGTACATAAATGTTCTATCAAGTTAAATAAATTAGTGTATTTCTTTTTGTACAATCCAGTGTTTTAATCTACACCCAAAAGAACGCAGAAAAACGCTACAATACTGTTGCTAAATTTACGATTGTTTGTTTCAGGTAAAATAAAATATTCGGAGAGAGTATACGAGTCATGTATGGAGGCGTTTGACTGTTTGCCGCTGGCGGCACTTATGAACCAACAGTTCCTCTGCGTTCACGGCGGATTATCACCAGAAATACACAATCTAGACGACATACGAAAGGTAACTATCTCATTAATGAACACAACATTAATTTTGTTCCCTCAATTTTGTGTAACATCTGTGCAACCAGACCTGGCAGTTTTACTGACCTACAGTACTTAAACCAAGGACAAAGGTACTGTGCTACCAATGAACATTTAGGAGAAATATACACAGAGGCAGTGATGACTAAATTCCAAGTTCCGTTACCTATTTATATGAGGAGAATCGTGAACTTAGAGATCCTGCAGAACAAATGAACTTTGGGGTACTTAGGCCCGTATCGTCAGTCGTCTCTACAATTGTAGGGCGCCTTTATGGCCTCCTTGATTGTCATAGTTTTCTACTTCTCCGTGTCAGCGCTCTATTTTGAGGTTATGTCACAAACATCTATTTGCATCAAATTGTGCTTCCTTTTGAGTTATGTCATGTTTTATCAGCCTGAAATTTCCTACAATTTAAAAAGAAAACATATCTTCACAATAGTAGAGCGAGCGCTGACGCTGACACGGAACAAGTGTAATCTAGAAATTTTTGAAGAAGAGAAAGGAGTATGAGAATCAAGGAGGTCATAAACGCGCCCTACAATAATTGTAGGGACGACTGACGATACGGGCCTAAAGCATCATTTCTCGACATCCTGCTTAGTTCAAGCAATACATTCTTAGGATTCGGTCATTTTAAAACATTTAATATAAGAGAACAACGCTTCGGCTAATTCGACATACACATCCATGTGATTTTTAGTTGGTGGAAAATAATTATACAGTAGAACCCCGATTATCTGAATCGCGATTATCCGAAATTCGCTTTATCTGAAATAGATCGCATACAATAATTTCTCCGTTTTAACCGAAGTTGTTCGGGAAATCGGCGCATGATCCGAAATAGCCACCGGTAGTTCCCCTTTCGGCGTTTGCGTCATTAGATTCGCTGCCGGTGATTCCCCAAGCGCGTTTGCGGAATTCACTGGTATGTGTGCATGTATGTTTGTTTCAGTCAGGTTCATAATCGCTAAGATGGAGCAGCATAGAAATAAACGTAAACGCGTTGTTATTACCATAGAACAGAAACTTGAGGCAATCAGACGTTTAGATAGAGATGATTTGCTTAAAAACGTGGCAAGTGATTTGAGTTGGGCGTGACTACCATTTCAGAATGGAAAAAACAACGCGAGAAAACCGAAAAGTGGTAGAGTGTTCTGACATCATCGCAGCCGTCATGGAAAACTATGAAAAAGGGAGAATATCAAGAAGTGGATGATGCTTTATATCTGTGGTTTACACAGAATCGAGAACGTGGAATACCAACTTCCGGAACAATTCTAAAGCAAAAGACAGTCAACTTAAGTGAAGAATTGCCAGTTATTGGGGCGCTTGATATCTTTGCAGCCAGTGATGGTTGGCTGGAAAAACGACACGGTATACGAGAATTAAACGTTTGCGGAGAAAATTTACCTGCCGCTAGGTCCGCTGCAATAAAATTTTGAGAACATTTGGAAGAATTAATGAATCAGTATGGTTTGAATCCAAAACAAATTTACCAAGAGCATTTAAACATGTCCGTCTCAACGCTCTTCCAGTGTGGTATAACAATAAAAAAAAATACCTTAAAGGATGCCGCCCTATTTAGGGACTGGTTTTACAATCATTTTGTTCCCAAGACAGAACGATATCTGAATGAACGTGGATATCTGAGAAAATGTATTTTGCTATTAGAAAATGCTCCTATCCACCCAAGTGAGGAGCAACTTAAAAGTGGAGAGATACGAGTGAAATGGAACCTTGCGCAGACTATGAGAATAACAACAAAAATTTACATGAGCTCGTCGTAAAAATAGCAGGGTGTGAAGATCTTACCCATGCAGATGTAGGTGAGTGGATTAATGGTGATGAATTGGTGGAAGAATTAACTGATACAGAACTAATAAAAATTGTTTATGATGAGACAGTTTTAAGTGATGCTAGTGACAATGAGACAGAAATCTCTGCCAAAATATCACATTCTGAGGGATTAGAAGCTCTAGAAAAGGCGTTGACTTACGTCGAACAAGAAAACGCCATAGCAGCTGATGTGCTACTTATCAAGCGTTGGAGGAATATTCCTGCCAAAAATAGGAACAATGCAAAACGTATACAGTTACAAATTACTTCCTTTGTTACTAAATACTCGTAAATATGTATGTTAGTATCCACATCCACATTTATATTTTACGTAACTTTATATAGGTATATACTCACTTAACACGCGCATTTGCATTTTTCAATAATAACATTATGAATCTAAATATTTATTTCCGTTTTATCCGAAATTTCGGTTATCTGAAAGCACTTGACTCCACATTATTTCGGATAATCGAGGTTCTACTATATTTCTGTCAGATAGATCGCAATTTGACTAGTTGACATCTATCTGGCAGAAACGTGCTTATTTTCCACCAACTAAAGATCAAATGCCATGGTATATCTGTCGGTGGTATAAATAAATGAATAAGTAAATAGATATGTGGTACTAGGAAAACTTGCTTATTATTGCAAGTCCCAACTTTAAGGACATCCTGTATTCAGCTTTCTCATGCTCTCGCCTACATTTTCTTCTGGGTAGAGTCTATAGCTTTCTGCTCTGCGGCGATCTTAGGCTCCAAGGAGGCAACCCCTTGGTTGCGTTCACTCGCGATGATTTCCCCAAGGAGACCGACTGCCGGCGTGTATACGTCACAGCCAAAACGGCTCTGTGAATTTCTAAGCTTAATTAGGACTAATGCTTGCGTTAAATATTTGCCAGTGCATAATACTTCATCAGACGGCTCTGCCAGCTCTGCGTTGTCACTCCGCGACGACGCATCGTTAGTTTCGGGTTCTTGCCTTCACGCCACTCTGGACTGAGCAGCCAGGCATAACGTATAACAAGATGAAGAGCTGATATCAGAAATAAGCGTCATATCTCACAAATCTATGCAAAATCTGAGTACGTAGAAAAAAAATACGTCAAGTAGGTTGACTCTGCACTTCCCACGTTCCCAACGTTGTCATTAGATTACAAAGGATTATGTCCCGCCCAACGCTAGTTTCTTCCTGCTCGAAATATCGACCATCTGGCAATACTGCTGGACCACGACACGTCATAAGCGCGAGAGTCACGTTACTATAGCCGGCAGTGCGGTCAGACGCAAGGCAGGGTTCGGCGTATAAAAGTCCTCGTTGCATTTCATCGTCCCGACTGACCGTGTGTCTCGTCTATAAATATATATATATATAGTTATACGGGCAAATATACACGGAAGTCTTTGATGTGTGAAAGATGTACTGGTACGCAAAATTACTGAGGTTAAAAGCGTATAAATATATTACCGACAACAAAATGAGATATACCTTCCCACACCCCCTCCAACTTCGACCTCCCGCTTTTCAACCCCTACAAAAAATTGCCGAAAAAATTATCAGGAGCCTCTGAAACGTCAAAAGACAGGACGAAGAGAGAGAAACCAGATAGACCGATGAAAATGAGTGACATAGTTTTTCGTGATGTTTATGTCATATAACCTCCAAAAAAGTGTCGTAGGAAATAAAATAGAGTCAATTAGACTGATTGAGTTCCAACCTATTAGTGTTACTTGTATCGATAGGTGACACCATTTTTTGTTCTGATCTGGGTGGCAAAGCAAAATAATATACCCTTTTTTTGAATGAAGCAAAAAAATGGCATGAAATAGATTGACTATACTTCCTACGCCGGTAGGTTCAATTAGGTACGATGAATCGTCGACCTCTTCATATCAAACTATATAGAGTAAGGGCCGATTTCACCAACATTAATATTATGGACGAATGGGAAAATACCTTATCGAAATGCAATTTGACAGAAGCTGTCAAAGGTCTCTGAATATTAGTGATTTCTATTGAAATATTGAATAAAATCGTGAAAATTCGACTGTATTATAAACAAGACCACTTTTTGATTCCATCATGATGCTTTTGTACAGAAAAAACAGGACAACTTTCATGTATTTTTATATATGTTGTAGGTTTACATTTAACAATCCGTTATGCCCTTCAGCGAATGGGAATGCGGCAAATAATAGGTCGATTTTCTAGCTGTTAAATTTGGCAGCAGATTTGGACGTTTGTTAATACATGGCACTCTCGAATTTACCAACTTCAATGGACTGAAAGTTATCATTACATACCTGTTGAATAGTGTGGATTTGTCTGTATTTTGCAAGAAAATAGAATATAAAATACATTCCATCCAATTCCTCATCTTCCTTTACGTCATAATACTAATCATTTATTAATTTATGAGTTAATGAATTTCTTCAAAGCAATAAAAACATTATGTCCTCTCCATCCTAAAACACAGATAATATGTGTCAATCCCTACATCTCCCTGATGCATAATGCAATTACTATGAACATAGACAAAAAATTATGAAAAATGTTTCACAAATAATGTCTTTTAAGTCCAAAAACCATAAACACTAATAATGTTTTCTTTTTGACTGGCGGGGATATCTATCTGTCACTCGCAGGGTTGCCAAGTCTAACGACGATCACGTCCCGTGGTGGGGGGTGCGAAATGAATCTTTTACATTTGCTGGTTTTGAATTTTTTCGTGAAAATTTACTAGGTATCATGATTATAAGCATCTTTGGTAGATTGTTCGATCCGGAATGGAAAAGATCTCCTATTTATGAAAATATTTTTGGTATCATCTAACCGTTGCAATCAGTTCACAAACACTGTGACATACGATTTATAGCATAACCCGCTGACCTATCAATACAAATTTAATATACAGGTCGCCTAGCCGTGGGGATGCAGTGGTCGGCATGAATATCACGGCAACAACTGATGATTTGGACATGTCTGGTAACAACGTATGAAGTGAAACTCGCTAACTCCACAAATTTGAGGATTTTGTACAATTTCTTTGAAAATGATGAAAGATATGTCTGATTTGGCAGGATAATGTCGCAGCCAAATGGCAGTCACTCTTTCTGACACAGTCCGGATCGAAAGATG